AGAGAGAGAGAGAGAGAGAGAGAGAGAGAGAGAGAGAGAGAGAGAGAGAGGGAGAATCAGCCCAGGACCCAGGGGACAGGAACAGGAGGGATTAGAAACAGAAGAATGACTTCCTGAAGAATTCAGAATGAAGAGGGGGCTCAAGGGAGACCGTCAGACTCCAGGAGCGGCCAGGGCAGAGTGGCTTTCCCCCTCAGGTGGCTCTGTGTGTACCTCTGTCCCCTGGGCAGGATGCCCTCCATGACCCACCCTGTCCTCCCAGAGGAAGGAGGCCTGGGATGCTCTTGCCAAGCTGTAGCCCAGGAAGTGGCATCTCATTCAACAAGATGCTCTTTAAAGTTCCGCCCATCTCCATCACCCTGGTTCCTTGTTCCGAACCTTCCTGCCTCTGCCATATGGGCTGGCTTGTGGGGATCAGTTCCTGTCTGGGGCATCAGACTCAGTTCTGAGCATTGGAAAGACTAACTTAAAAAGTGCCCCGTGTTGCCATCCTATCCATCCCAGAAGGGCAGCACCTGCCAGCAGCCCTGGTTCCACTCTTATCATCATGGAGCTTTGGCCTTTCTGTGTTTCTGTCTGGGCTGGTTTGCTGCTCCTGAGACAGTTTGCTTGGCCCCCTCTGCCAGGGGATCACCACACTGCTGTTGGGTCCGGAGACGCTCAGACTTTAGCCTGACGGCAGCTTGACCCAACAGCCTCAAGGCTTCCAGTAGCAGGCACTATGCTGTTTGCTGCCGAGCCTGGAAAGAACATTGATAAGATGGAGGAAATCTAGCCAAGAAGGATGAGGATGGTGAAAGGCTTTGACATCCATAGCACATGAGAAGGAGCTGAAAAGAAGTGGGGGGAAGAGAAGAGTTGGGGCTGTGATCACAAAATCTCAGAATCTGAGAGTCAGAAGGGTCCTCAGAGGGCATCTGGTCCAGCCCACACAGGGGAATCCTCACTATAATGTACTGGACAAGTGGCCAAGCCGCCCCTGACCCCAAGGAAGGGGGAGCCAGCATTTCTGGACTCAGCCCATTCCACTAGGGAGCAGCTGTCATTCTTACGAAGCTTTTCTGAATATTCAGCCGAAATTTGCCTCTTCGTAACCGACATTCATCTGGGTTCTGCCCAATGGTGCCAAACAGAGCAAGCCTTACCCCTTTTCTGCATGAGAGTCCTTCAGATTCTTAAAGACAGCTATCACGTCCCTTCTGGCTCTTCTCCAAGCTATGCACCCTCAATTCCTTCCAAAATCTGAGGGTAGTGATGTGTAAGAAGGGGTATGCTTGTTCTGTTTGGCTCAGAGGGAAGTGAGTAGAAGAAGATACAGAGGCAAATTGAGGTTTGATATTAGAAAAACTTCTGAATAGGTCTCCAGGAGTGAAGGGGGCTAGGCTGTCCAAGGAGGCAGTGAGATCCCCCTCCATGGGGATCGTCAAGCAAAGGTGAGACGGCCACTTCTCAAAACACTTGTTTTCAAGCCAATGTTGGACCAGATGGCCCCCGAGCACTCTCTCTCTGCTCTGAGTCTGTTTCAGTGGTTTAGCCCCCACGCTGGGGCCCCAGGAAAGGCAAGGTTATTCTGAGCCCAGGGCTGGGCAGCAGCAGGGGCAGAGTAGAGTGAAGGCAGCCGAGAATTGGCAGCCATCTGGGCTGGGCCCCTCTGTCCTCCAAAGGAATCCCCACGATGTGTTCAGCCAGCTTAGCATCAATGCTGAAATAACAGGGCTCTAGGGAAGCTAGCCTGCCGGAAGTCAGGACCACGCTAGTTTGGCACTTTCACCTAGTGGGACTAGAGCCATGTAGGAACTGAACTAGACTTTGAAGCCAATATCTCATCATCCCTCTCCTCCCACCAGGGCCTTGGGCAAATGTCTGTGTGTTTGTTTCTAGACATCGCTTTAAAGCACACCTCTCCTTGTAAAAACAACTCTGATGTGAAATGGAAGGGGTGCTAATCACTAGGCCCCTGAAATGGGCTGACAGTCAGGGGCAGAGGAAAGTGACCCTGCAGCCTCTTCAGGGCAGAGCAGAATCCTGAGAGGGGCCTGGCCCTGAGAGCAGGGTCAGAGTTCCCCATGTTCCCCCCTGCCCTGCCCTTTAGTCATCCTGCCCCCAAAGGCAGTGAGTTTCTCTGCCATGGTCTTTGGGGAAGCCACATTGGCTCTTTGTGATCCAGCTTCCTTTTCTGGCTGTTCAGTGACCATGCCCTTTACAATAGGTTATGGGATTTCCCCAGGAATCATAGTTAAGCTTATTGCTCTATTGTGTGCAGACTCCATTCTTCTCTTTTTCTTACTCCCTCTCTTTTTCCCAGTCCTGCCTTCAATCTCTCCTCCCCTCCCCTCCCCTCTGCTCCCCTGCCCCCTCCTCTTTCCCCCTCTCATCTCTCTCTTCTCCTCCTGTCCCCTCCTCTCTTCTCTTCTCCCTCCCTTCCCCTCTCCTCTCTTCTTTTCTCCTCTCCCCTGCTCTCCTCTCCAATAGGTATTTAGGTAGGTACCTACAAGATTCAAACAGAGGAGATGGACAGTAACCATGGAAGGGAAGGTTCTGGACACTGATAGCACCATAAAAGGTTACCGGCCAAGAAGGTGGCCTTCACACTAAGTCTTGAAGGGAGCCAGGGATTCTCAGAGTTGACAGTGAGAAAGGAGAGTAACCCAGGCAGTGGAGAGGGTTATGCAAAGGTGCAGAGATGGGAGATGTAGTGATGGGTCAGAGGAACCCTGAGCTGACCAGGTTAACTGGTTCATGCAGTGGGTGGAGAAGGAAAGGATATCAGGAAACAAGTATTTATTAAGTGCCTACTGTGTGGCAGACACTGTATTCAGTGCTTGACAGTGTCCTCATAACAACCCTGGGAGAAAGTGCTATCATGATCCCCATTTGACAGATGAGGAAACAGACAGGTTGTGACTTGGCCAGGGTCACACAGTTAGTAAGTGTTGAGGCAGATTTGAACTCAGTCTTCCTGGCTCTAGGCCTGGTGATCTCTCACTTAGCTGGGGAGAGTAATATAGGAGACTGGGAAGGTAGGGAGGGTTAGGGTAGGCTCTACAATGTTCAGTGTTTTGACGCGACCAGTATATGTTGTTCCCTGCAAATGGTGATCTCTGGAGGACATCACCAGCTATGGGGGCTCCTCTTTCCATATGGACTCTGCAGTGGACACTCTCCTCCATGTCCTCTGGTGAGCACATGGTTCACTGTTTCAGGCAGTGCTCCAAAATGATCAGGGTTATCTCTGCTGCCATATCTCTCAAGGAGCCTGGGATGATTTTAGCGAATTCATGTGTTGCATTGGGGGCACCTCCTCGACTCACAGGACACAGGGCCATTCCCCCAGGTAATAGCTACTCCGGGTTCAAGGCACTGTGTGAGTCCGTCTCCCTCCATGGCTCACGGAGCCCCACCACAGTGTTTGTTTTGACTAATTAGCCAGATGACACAACTCCTTCAATACTGAGGTATTTTAATGAAATGGAACAGTAAGACCAGTATCAACTGAAGAAATGGGCCACAAACCTGGGAGGACACGTCCAACCTCAGTGGGAAGAGCAGATGTCCTTAGGGAGGTGTTATCTGGGTACATCTGTGGAGGAGAGCTCATGGAGGACATGTATGTGACTGGAGCACGTGCACGAAGGAGCATAGGTACGGGGAGCACATGTGGCCAGGACAGACATGTGGCACTGGCAACGTGGCCTATGAATGCCATCAAACCATGCCTGTACACGGCAGCCACCCGTGGCCAGGTGTCCATGGCACCACGGAACCACTGGCCTCTTATTCATTGCTGTCGTGTGGCTCTGTGCCCTGGGGAGTTATGGCACCATCAGAAGGCCTGTTAGAAGGAGGCCAATGTAGCCTCACGAGGATTATGGATACCTTCATGGACGAAGTCCATGCCCACACCCTGTCTTTGGATGAGAAGGCTTTATCTGAAAGAAATCAGATCAGGATGAGGGTGTATGTGGGCAGTTAGTGCCGCATACTGAGATGTGCTCATGTGAGGAAATCTGGGAACCAGAAAGGGGGCATGGTGGTGAGTGTTTGGATGAAGGTCAAGGGAGGAAAAAGCAGAAGGGAGGTTGTCATGGTGATGTCCTGCCCATTGCCAAGTGAGCGACCATGCTTTCAGTCAGCCAGGTCCACAGCCTAGGTCCCATCTTGGCCTCCTGCTCAGTGTCACTCTGCCCACCTGTTCAGCCCCCTCCAGATCTTGTCCTCTGCCTTCACACCTTCCCTCACATAGGCCTATTGTTATCCACTCATACTTTCTTGCCCTGGGTCACTCCCTCAGCAGCCCTGGTCTGGCTCACGGCAGTCGCATTCTCATGGGTCTCCTCACCTCCAGTGTGGTCCTCCTGCAATCTGTCCTCCACACAGCTCAGATTTCTGTACGTCATTAGGATTTGCAAAGCACTTTCCATTTGCTATATCATTTAATATTCACAATAGCTCTGGGAGATAGGTGCTGTTAGTAACAACAAAAACAAATAATAATAATAATCTTTATATAACAGTTCAAGTTTTGCAAAGTGCCTTACAGATATTATCAAATTGTTTACTGCCAACAACGCAGGAAGGCAGATGGGGTCATTCTCCCCATTTTCCAGATAAGGAAAGTGAGGCTGAAGGAGGAATAGTGACCTGCTCACTTCAGGGGGCACAGATAGGAAGCCTCTGAGGCTGGATGTGAGCTCAGGTCGCCCTGACTGCAGGCATAGCGCTCCATCCACTGACCTCCTATGTTCCCATCCTGCTCCTCTTCCTCCATCCCAGAGAGCCATCCCTTTGACCAAAACCAGTTTCAGATACCCCTCATGTTTCAGAAGGGAGAGACAGGCTCTGGCAAGAAGCAAATATGTGGGCTGGAAGTGATCTTTCATCTCCCATCCAGCCAGGGGCTTAGCCTGTGGTGCCTTTTTGGCATGAAGGTTGTCAGGGACCCAATAGTGTGAGTTGCACTGAAGGGAGGGGAGATCAGACACAGAAGACTGGAGAGGAAATTGAATGATAAAGAAGATCTTTATTGGAAGAGGGTAGGGGGACTATGAGCTGGGGAATCCCATGTGTGGGGATAGAGGGAGGGGTGCAGGAGAGATGTGGGCCTCTAAGTGCACTGGTTGCGCGAGAGCTCCCTCTGGATGACCTTGGCATTGTGGGCGACCTTGCAGGTGAAGGTGTTGGCTGACAGCCACTGGTCAGCAGAGAGTGAGAGGTAACTGCTGGCTGAGTACTTGCTGTCACTCTGGCGGGATGGCTGGGAGGTCTCCACACCCTGGGACACGGGGGAGCCATCCTTGGTCCATGCCACCTCCACTGTTCTTGGGTAGAAGCCACTCAGCAGACACACGAGGGTGGCCTTCTTGGTGGCTAGCTCTTCTTGGGATGGAGCAAAGGCATTAATGGTGGGGGCCGCCGTGGGCTGACCTGGGAGGTGTGTTGAAAGAGGAGGAGAGGTTAGTCAGAGAAGAGCAAAGTGTCAGAGCCTGAGGGACAACCTTGGGGCCTCCAGACCTGTATGTTCAGTCCAGATTCTACCAGGGCCTGGGAAGTCAGAGTGATGAGTAGCAGCTAGCCCTGAATCAGAGCCTTGGAGAGTTCCAGGTAGAAGAGACACCAGAGCCCATTTAATCCCAGAGAGTGGAAGTGACTTGCCCAATGTTAACAGCTAGTAAGAGACTGAACTATTATTCCAACCCACGTCCTCTGACCCTGCCCAGTCCTGGGCTTTCCTGCTGCCCCTGGCCCTTGCTCTATGTACACAGCTGGGCAAGACTCTTCCCTGCTCTGGGCTTGAGTTTCCTCAGTTGCTCAGTGGGTGGGTTGAAAGGTCTGATCTCTGAGCTCCCTTTCTAGCCCTGACCTCATGTGCTTCTGGAGCCTGGGGCTTCTTAGCCTTCCTGCGCATCATTATTCAAGCCCAGCCTGGAGGGTCAAGCTGAGGATTCCTGGGGGATTCCCAACCACCATCCCTGGTGCTGTCCTAGTGACAATGTCTTTCCTTTGGAGTCCTTCAGTGCTGGGGTTTCTGCCTATCTGCAGAGCAGTCCTTCTGCCTGTAGCTGTCAGTTTTTGCTGCAGATCTGCTTGTCCTTAATGGTCGGTCCAATTTTGGCAATGTGTGGTCTGCTCTGAGACCGAGTCTGTCTGTGCGGGGCATTTGGTCTGGTGTGGGCAGTAATTGGGTTCTTGGCAGTGTCTCTGGCCCAGAGCATCTGTTTGCCTTCCCGGTGCTCATCTCCATGAGCTGTCTCTCATTTGCTGACAGGCTGACTCTTGTCCTTGCTCCACATCTCTGCTCTCTTGTGTGGCCGTCCACCCCCAGATCACAATGGCTGACCTTCCCCTGTGTTTCCTGGAGTGCCTGTGGTTGGGCTCAGAGCGGAAGGTGGCCCTCTGCAGCACAGCTCTCTGACCCCTCAGTCCCTTCCCATGAGTCCCCATTGCCTGGCAGAAGGGCAGATTGGACCTTCTTTCCCCAGATGATCCTCCCTGTGCCCAGCCTCAGTTTCCCCTTAGTCCCAATCCCATTCCAGACCAATCATTTCCTCCATTCCCCAAAGATGGTCAGGGCTCCCAAAGGATAGCAGGAGACTGAGCCAGGCTGAGAGGTGATGGTCACAGCCATGGGCCAGCCAAGTCCCCGTATCAATGAGATGAATGGAAGGCTTTGTCAGAGCCTTGGGAAAAAAGGAGGGGAGAGGAGATAGGAAGGGCAGTGGTTGGAGATCCCAGTAAACCACAAACCTCTGGTTGGAGCTGGGATGTTTGACCTCAGTCAGTACCCAGAATAAAGCCCCAAAAAATCTCTAGCAAATTTCCCAGAGCCCTTATTAGCACAGAAAGAGAGGTGAAAAGAAGGGTGACTCACCAAGAACCATCAGCTGGGTCCCTCCGCCAAACATAGCCCACGGTGACACAGACCTGTGTATAAACCCCCCAGTGACGTGGCCCCAGGCACCATGGCCCAGGAACTCTCAGGTCTCCTCAGGGGAAAACTGCCCTCCCATGTTCCCCTCTCTTCAGAGAGCAGGGGCAGATGCTCCTCCATGCTCGCCTGACCTCCCTCCCCCTCACCCCCATCACCCCCCCCCCCGGGAAGAGGGCTGGGAAACTGAGAATTCAGAGGAAGCCTATGTCCAGGGAGCTGGCTCTGCCCTGGAAGGCTGTGACCAGCCTCTGAATCCAGATTGGAAATATTCATTGAGGCACCTTGGGATTGATGATGGGCCCCCAGCCCAGCTCTCAGGACCATTCAAAGTTGGAGCTGATCTTCTCAGGGTTTCCCCACTACCTTTTCCTTCCATGATCTTATCTGATCCTCACAATGCCAGAGGGACATTGAGATGAAGAGCTTTTTCACTCCCTCCCCTCTTGCAGATGAAGCACCTAAGCCTAAGACAAGTTAGGAGACAGGTCTAAGGTCACACAGCTAGTTAATGGGAGAGGTGGGATCTGAGCCCAAGCTGGAGAAGGTAGGGAGAAGAAGGAGAAAGCAGCATTCTGGTCCCTGGGGGGCTGATGGTCTATTTAGGCAAGGTGAGACAAGACCTACACAGCAGGATAGTTTCTCAAGCCCTCTGGGAGGAGACGGTTGAGGAGATATTCTGAATGTATGAGATTTAGTGAGCAAATCCCAAGAGGGAGGCAGAGAGGAAATAAGTGACCTCTGGGATGGTCTGGGTGCTATGGTAGTTACTGAAGGCTCCTTGGAAGAGTCAGGACTGATTAGAGATTGAGAATGGATAAGATGCTGCTGGAAGGAGAGGAGAGAAGGGACCAAGCCAGAGCCAAGGTGGGAGGAGCATCCAGATTGTAGGAGGGACAGGGAAGTGCTGGAGACTGAGGACAGTGGAGGAGGCAGGAGCCTGAGTGGGACTGGGGAAGCCAGGCTTTCCCACCTGGTCCTGGAAGCAATGGAGAATTATGGAGTGTGGTTGAGTAGAGGATGGAGAGGTAGCTGATTTGGTAGAATGGGCACAAGATCTCAGTCTGAATCCCTGCCCTGTCACTAACCATCTGTTGAGTGCTTACTATGTGGTAGGCATTGTGCTAAGCACTCAGCAAATGCTTGGCAGGATGGAGCTCATCTTAACTGTCTGCAAAGCCCTTCCCTCCCAACAGCCCTGGCAGGTAGGGCACCTGAGGATTCTAGTGCCTGCTGTGCAGACAAGGGCAAGAGAAAAGCAAAGATAGTGGGGACTTAAGAGAAACAGAAGACATAAAGGAGAGCTGGCAGACACGGAAGATACAGAAGAAGAAAGCAAAAAAGCTCTTAACATCACTGATAACCATGATGGTGTGTTCACTGCCTGGAGCTAGACATCCTGGAGCAGTCAGTGAAGTGGGCCTTGGGAAGCACTGCTCACCATCAGGCCAGTGAAGGTCATGGAATCCCAGCTGAGCTATTAAAAACCCTAAATGATGAGACTGTTAAAGTGCTGCACTCACTAAGCCAACACATCTGGAAAACTCTACCCTGTAGACTGGGTTGGAAAGATGCATTTATGTCTTACTGGTAATGAAAGGCAATGTCAAAGAATGTTCACATTACTGAATGATTGGGCTCATTTCACAGGCCAGCAAGGTCATGCTCTAGATTCTGCCAAGCTGGACTTCAGCAATATGTCAACTGAGAATTACCAGAAGAGCAGGCTAGTTTTTGAAGAGTGGGAGAAGTAGAGGCTGAAGTGCCAAAATTTGTTGGATTGTGGAGAAAGTAAGAGCATTGGAGAAAAACATTTATATATAAAAACTGGACCATAAGGAAAGCTGAGTGCTGCAGAATTGTAGTTGTGAATGACAGTGTTGCAGAATATTTTGAGAGTCAATTGGATAGAAAGCAGATAAAATTAGTCAATACTGATAAGAAATGGATTCGGTCTATCCTTTGGAAGGTGAATTACTGAAACTGAAGCTCAAGTAATTTGGGCAGATAATGAGAAGACAGGATTCATTGGAAAAGACCCCGATATTGGGTAAGATCAAAGGCAAAAGGAGAAGGGGATGACAGAAGATGAGATGGATAGATGGTGTTATGGAAGCTTGGACAGACTTGGGGAGAAAGTGGAAGACAGAAGGCTCTGGCAGGTTATGGCCCATGGGATCATGAAGATTTGGACACAACTGACCAATAGCATAGAAGGTGAAATTTAATCTCAGGGAGGGCTCCCAGATCTCTCTGGCCCTCATTCCTTCTCTGAGCTCTAGACTTGCAGATTCTCAGTTCTGAAGAGCCCTCAGAGGCTTCTCATCCAGAGGATTCTTGGTGGAGAATTCTCACCACTGCCTTCCTGCCTGATGAAGGGTGCACTGAGCTTTGCAGGCTGATCTCCAAGGAAGGTTGTGCCACCATGGAGAGCTCCAGATGTTCACTAATTTCCCTCACAATGAGCCTCCATCTGTTTTCTTGCTCTGCTGCTTCTAATGCTGGGCTCTGGAGCCCGGCAGAACCAGCTTATTCCTTCATACTCTGATAGCCATTTAGATACTTGAAGAGAGTTCTAGTGTCCTTTACCCTGACCCTAGGTTTGTCCTCTTTACCCAGCAGAGGCCAAGTTTCTTTAAGATTCGGTAAGGCCACATCTTCCATTCCTTCACCATCCAGGTCCCTGTTCCTTTGAAACTCTTTTTCTTTTTAAATCAGTCTCTATTTTGCCAATATCCTTCCCAAATTATGGTATCTAGAAGTGGACCTCAGGGACTTGAGATGGCATGTGAACCGAACAGATGACAGTGGGCTTCGTAATGATAATGATAATGATAATGGTAGTGATAACAGCTAAGATTTCTAGACTGCCTACTATGTGCCAGGCTCTGTGCTAAGCACTTTAGAAGCATTATCTCGTTAAATCCTCACAACAGTTGTGGAAGGCAGGGGCTATGATTTTACCTATTCGGTATTTCAGCAAAATGTGGCTGAGTGGTTAAGTGACTTAGCCAGGGTCAAACAGCTAGTAAGTGTCTGAGGCTGGAAGCCTTCCTGACTGCAGGTCCAGCTGTAGAGCTAGAACGGACCTGAGAAGGTACCTCGTCTAAATTGCTCTCATTACAGATGCGGGCACTGCTTCCAGGGGAGGCTGTGACTTGGCTAAAGTCTCCCAGGTGGTAAGGACAAGGGCTCAATGTGAACCCACATCCTCTTCCTATGGAGCCAGTGTTCCCTGCCCTGTGGCCGTCTGATGTGTCAGGAGGAGGGTGTTCTGGTTTGTCCTCTAGGGCTCTGGAGTTCTCAGGATGGGAGGGGGTTTGTCCATCCCAGTGGGTGAAGCTGAAGTGGAGTGGTCCTGGGCTGCACTCTGATCCCTCTGTCCTGTTCCCTAGATGTAGGGCTACTCCTTGGACCGTCCTTCCTCATCCCTTGTTTCCCTTCCCACCTTGGGTGACGGGCATGATGGGACCCACTGCAGACCTTGGACTCTCGGGTGATTGACTTTCATGTTCCATCCATCCAGGGGCTTGGCCTGTACTGCCTTTTTGTCATGGGGGCTATCGGGGGCCAAATCTTGTGAGCCACATTCAAAGAGAGGGGAGATCAGACACAGAAGACTGGAGCCGCAACTGAATGTGAAAGGACAAGATGTTTATTGAAAGCGAGGAGAGGGGAGGATGAGCTGGGGAAGCCCCTGTGTGGGGAGAGAGGGAGGCGTGAGAGAGGGATGTGGTCCTCTAAGTGCACTGGTTGCGCGAGAGCTCCTTCTGGATGACCTTGCCATCGTGGGTAACCTTGCAGGTGAAGGTGTTGGCTGACAGCCACTGGTCAGCAGAGAGTGAGAGGTAACTGCTGGCTGAGTACTTGCTGTCACTCTGGCGGGACGGCTGGGAGGTCTCCACACCCTGGGACACGGGGGAGCCATCCTTGGTCCATGCCACCTCCACTGTTCTTGGGTAGAAGCCACTCAGCAGACACACGAGGGTGGCCTTCTTGGTGGCTAGCTCTTCTTGGGATGAGCAAAGGCATTAACGGTGGGGGCTACTGCGGGTTGACCTGGCAGTGTGGCAGAGAGGGGAAGAAGTCAGTCTTACACAGAGTGGAGGCACATTAACATTCCTACTTACAACCCCGTTCAATGCTCCTGTTCCTGCTGATAGTTTTTTCCATTTCTAATCGTTCCTGACCCCATGGAACCTGGGACTTCTGAGGTGTGCACCCTCTTCTCTCGCGTCTACACCCTCCTCTCTTCTTCTCTTTACCCTGATTGCTTTCCAATGCTCTGTTGTCTGATGTTGGGGAGACTCTCTGGAGGAGACAATGAATCAAATAAAAGTTTTGGGGAGCACAGATGACACCATGATTCCAAGATCCCTCCCTTCCTCATGTACAGGTCTTTCTGACATGCTAAGATTCTTTTTTTACTCTCTCTGAGTCTTACCCTGGCCAGCCAGGGCTCCCGCTCTCCAGGCTCCCCTGGCTACCCCCTGGACAGCCAGGATGCTTCATTTCGACCATTCCTCACACTTCATGAGGCTACTCTAGAAACCAGGCAACTCTTCTGCCTGACCATATTCTACCCTTTCCACTGCCTTTCCGTTATGTCTGAGCTCAAGAGAGCCTCAGTACATCTCTCCAAAGCATATTTCCCCACTCTCAGTTCCTGTACTTTTCTGGTAGTGTCTGTGGAGTCTGGTATGACTAGGGCCAGAGATGTAGAGCTACAAAGGGCCTGTAAGATCATTGAGTTGGACCACTTTATTTTATAGATGAGGGAACTACTGTCTGGAGAGATTAATTAACCTGCCCATATTCACTGAACCAAAGTATCAAAGGCAGATGCACAAATGGAGAGACATCGCCACTCCCCATGTTCGTATGGCGTATTTGTGCCAACCTGTGGTCGAGCCTTCCTAGTTCTTATTGGTCTGAGCAGACACGGTCAGACACACTGTACCTTGACCCCGACATAGTGATGCCACTTGTGTCCTCCTTCCAACCCCTCAATGAACCACAGGCAGAATTCCTAACTCAGTCTTCCTCATTCCAAGTCCAGAGCTGTAGTAACTCCCCTCCATTGCCTCTTTCTGCCTCTACCCCACTGTCGTTTTTGTCAAGCCTGACTTGGTCTCCATTGTCTGTCCCATCACCCTCTCCCATTCCCTTAGGAGGCCAAGACCAGAGGTCCCAGAGAGCTGCTGGTGAGGGAGCCAATGCTTTTGCTTCTGCTGCCCGTGGTCTGTCACTGCTCCTGCCCAAATCCCCCAGGTAGTCCTCACTTGGGCTTCCCACCCAGGCTGCCCAGCAGTCCAGGCTCCACCATCCACCCCTTGTGTGTCCTCTGGTTCCTCACTGGCACCCTGAAGTCCCCACATCTGAGGGAGCCCCAGTTCTCCTCATGGATTCCTAGTGTAAAGGGACTGAGTTTAGAGAGGGGAAGGAATGCTATTTGTCTGATTCCTCTGCTGGGTTCTGTCCTGCCTTACCCCCCAATCTTCTCCCTTGTCTCCAATGTGGGGACAATGGTTTTCTTAGAGTGTGTCCTGGGGATTAAGTCCCTTCCTTGCTGGGTCATCGTCCCCTCCATGGGCTGCTGTAGGTGGGACCACATTGGTCCCCACCTCCAGCCTCCTGACCCTAGGGAGACCCTCAGTTAAGTGGGTGATACCCAGTGAGAAAGAGTGTTATTTCCCAGCAAGACCCTGGATAGAAAGGAGGGACAGGGAGAACAAAGGCTACTTACCGATGACGGTCAGTTGGGTCCCACCGCCAAAAACAAACCACTGTGATTGAGAGTCGTACCAAAACTCTTTCTGCCTGCAGGTGCCCTTTGGCCCCTAAGGTCTGCTTGTTCTGGAAACCTGTCAGGCATGACAGGAGGGCATGGCTGAGAGCTGTTGGTGAAGGGGTTTGCAGGTGGGGTCCATCCCTGGAGGTAGGGGTAACTCCCAGTCACCTCTCCTGCCTCCAAGGCTGGGCTCCCCCAGGGCTGTGCTCAGGCTCATTGGAGAAAGTTTCTATTTGATGAGATCCTTCTTTTGAAGCTTTTCCTCCCTCCCCTCCAAGCAGGCTGATCTCATAGGTAACCCTCAAAAGCCTTCTGCTCAAGACATTTCTCTCACTCAGTGTATCTTCCTTATCTTTTCCCTGTTGATCCTTGTTGCACTGGTCCTTCAAGACCCAGATCAAATTCCTGAAGCCTTCCCAGGCCTGCTTAGCTCCCTTCTCTGGGAGGTGGCAAAGTGTTCTCTTTCAGATTTCTGGTTGTTAGGCGGCTAGCTAATCCTCTGTGGTGAAGATAATGCAGAGAGCCTCCCAACCAACTGGTCCCCTGTCTCCTTCCTTGACCTTTTCACAGCTGCTCTCATAGTCTTCAGAGATTCCCTGGAGTCCTGAAATCTCAGTCAGGGCTGACTGAGAGATTCCTCAAAGACCATCCAGCCCACCCCATTCCTGAATGAGAAGCACTTCTCCCAGCATTATCCCCAGCCAATGGTCCTCCAGTCTATGCTTGGAGACTGCCCAGTGAGGGGGAGCTCACTACCTCTCAAGGCAGCCCATTCAGCTTTAGGACAGTTCTCATGATTAGGAGCTGGCATCTTCCCCTTTGCAGCTTGGGTGATTCTGGTTCTGCTCTCTGGTACCAAGGAGAAAAAGACCAATCCCTCTCTCCCATGATGGTCCTTCAGATGTTTGATCCCAGCTCTGTGCCCCCTGAGAGTCTTTTTTTCTAGGCTAAGTATCCCCAGGTCCTCCAGGTGGTTCTCCAATGACATGGATTGGGGTCCTTCTCCTGGCTGGCTGCCCTGCTCTGGACGGTGTCCAGCTTAGCGATGTCCTTGTTGCACTGTAGTGCCCAGAATTGCACAGGGTCCTTCCTCTGGAGTCTGATGGGTTGAGAGAGTAGAATGTCTTCGTTCCTGCAAGCCCAAGATTGCATGAGCTTTCTTGGCTCTCACATCACACTGCTCACTGGTATCAAGCTTGGTTTCCTGCAACTCAGACTTCCCCCCCACTGAAATGCTGTCTTCTACCTGTTAACCTGCCCCTACCCCTCAAGGGTAAGGTTTTGTACTTTTGTCTACAAAATTCTTTCTCTTGGCCTTGGTTCAATGTTGCAGAGTTCTGACATCATTTGGGATCCTAGGTGTAGCATCTAGTGGTTTCCTTTCCCTCCCAGTGTTGTGCCTTGCTGAATCTCTTTGAGTGTCCCATGTTCATCGTTAGCCAAAGCAGGGACCCGTGAGGCACTGGACTGACATCTACTTTCCAAGTTGACATCAAACTGTTCTTAGGTATTCTAGGTATCTGGTCATCACCCAGTCTGAATCCCCTCACTTCCATTGCTCTCTAGCCCAAATCCCTTCATCTTGGCCATAAGAATAGAGGGAGAGACTTTGTGAAATGTTTTCTAAGATGAATCAATCAGTGAACAAGCATGTATTATACATACTATGTGCCTGGCTCTTTGCTAAGCACTGGGGATGCAAAGAAAGAGGGAAATCAGTGCCTGTGCTGAAGGAGCACCCATTCGAAGGTTGATGATGTCAAAATATTTTGGAGACACTCTGTTTCCCAGAGTTACGGCCCAGCAAGCAGGCTGTGCCCTGAGCTTGGCCTTACAATGGTCCTTTGCAGCTCTGGATGATCTCACCTTCCAGCTAATTGTATTCCTGTTACTAGCACCAGGTGTTCACTGAAGGATTTCTGATTTTAGCTCCCCCCTATTTCCTGGTGACCTGAGAATCAACACCTATCATACCTTTCTCTGATCTGTTCATAATCCATGTTCCCTGCAGTTCTCTTCCTGTCAAAGAACTCTGATCCTGTACCCCGCAGAGTCATCATGACCCCCAAGGCTTGAGACAGTCCACGTAGGAGCTGTTCTTTCAGGATCGGGAATGGCAGGCATGCACTTGCCATGAGAGCAGCCACTGAAGACCTAGGCATGATTTTGTCATATTCTGTGCCCCCAGCCCAAGGATGTTTGGTTCCAAGAAAAGCACCTGAGTCAGGGAGTGGCATCTCTGATCGTATCCAGCAGCTATGTCATAGGAATCTGCGATTCCAGGAATCCAGATGGGATTTTGCCAACTCAGCTTCAATACCATGAGAGCTTGTGTTCAGGGAAGCTAGCCTGTTGGAAGTCAGGACGATGCTGGTTTGGTACTTTCACGTAGTAGGACTAAAGCCATGTAGGTACTGAACTAGACTTTGAACCCAATATCTCATCACCACCTCCCCCCACCAGGGCCTTGAGCAAATGTCTGTGTGTTTGTTTCTAGATATTGCTTCAAAGCAAATATCTCTTTGTTAAAACAACTCTGATGTTAAATGAAAGTGGGGTGCTAATCACTAGGCCCCTGAAATGGGGGCTGACAGTCAGGGGCAGAGGAAAGTGACCCTGTAGTGTCTTCAGGGCAGAGCAGAATCCTGAGAGGGCCTGGCCCTGAGAGCAGGGTCAGAGTTCCCCATGTTCCCCCCTGCCCTGCTTCTTTAGTCATCCTGCCCCCCAAAGGCAGCGAGTTTCTCTGCCATGGTCTTTGGGGAAGCCACATTGGATCTTTGTGATACAGCTTCCTTTCCTGGCTGGTTAGTGACCGTACCTCTTACAATAGGTTATGAGATTTCCCCAGGAATCACAGTTTTTTTCTCCTTTCTACTGTCCCCTGAATTTCTTAATGTTCACAGAAGTAGAAGTTTGTTTTTCTTTCACTTTAATTTTGTACTTAACTCCTTGAGTTTTAATTTCAATTGTGATTAATGAAAATTTTGCTATTGAAGGTAAAAATTCCTGGGTCAGTGATTTGTTCTGAGCTTTGATTTCAGGAATAGTTGTACGAATTGTCACAAAGTCAAGAATAGAAAATGGCATGTGTGACAGTCTGGAACTGCGAAGGTGGGTTTTGAGCAGGGGAACATTGTGAGGACAGCTTAGGACACAGCCTAGATTGAATCCTCCTGACTTTATTTCCCCATTGTGTCATTTCCTTTCTGGAAAAGGAAAATTGCCACCTGGTTAATCCTGTGCCTTGCTTTAACACTCTGTAGCTATATGATTGGCTGTCAGATGTGACTGATGCCTGGAATCAAGCAGAATTAAGGGAATTTCCCCCCTGATATATGGTTACTATGTTCCTCTTTTTCCTTTCATAGCAAATTTCTTTAATCAAGAAATGTTTTAGAATCATGTTTCCAATGAACGTTCCTCATTGGCCTTCGAGAGTCGTTGTGACCTTTTTGGCTGAAAGGAGGGAATGAAAAAGAAATTACAATATTCACATTAATCAGTATGATATCTATCTATCTATCTATCTATCTACCTATCTATCTATCTATCTATAGATATATAGATATAGATATAGATATAGATATAGATATGGATATAATGAATATAGCAATAATTTCATTTTCTCCAGAGCTGCCTCTCTGGCTAGAGGTTCAGAGCTCATAATGCAGGGTAAACTGATCACTCAAAGCTGTGCCAATGCTCACAATCCGCTTGAACTTCAGTGAAGCGAATCAAAGACTGTACAACCTGTTCCTGTCACAGACCTTTGGTTCTGTACTTTAGGGGAGGTGGTCATGACCCCTAAAGACCCCCAAAAGTGTGTTGTGGGGTCGGGGGTTTCTGATTGTTTGTAATCCATCTTCCTGGTGAGTTTAGTATATAACTTGTTTGTAAGTTAAGTATACAAGCCTTGCTTTTACTTCAGCTAAGGGAACATTCCTCACTCTGAAACTGATTGTTTTAACTACTTGATTAGTGGCATTCCCACCTCTAGGCCAGCTTTGTGGGGCTCTGAGCATTCTCAGGTTAGGAAAAATCCTGTTCCCAAGTCCACAGTCAAGGTCACATCTTCATCTCCTGCATGTTACCAAGTAAGTGGCCATGCTTCCAATCAGCCAGGTCCACAGCCTAGGTCCCATCTTGGCCTCCTGCTCAGTGTCACTCTGCCCACCTGTTCAGCCCCCTCCAGATCTTGTCCTCTGCCTTCACACCTTCCCTCACATAGGCTTGTTTTCTTCCACTCACACTTTCTTGCCCTGGGTCACTCCCTCAGCAGCCCAGGTCCGGCTCATGGCAGTCACATTCTCATGGGTCTCCTCACCTCCAGTGTTGTCCCGCTGCAATCTGTCCTCCACGCAGCTCAGATTTCTGTACGTCATTAGGGTTTGCAAAGCCCTTTCCATTTGCCATATCATTTAATCTTCACAATAGCTCTGGGAGATAGGTGCTATTAGTAAAAATAAAAACAAATTATAATAAAAATAATCTTCATATAACAGTTTAAGTTTTGCAAAGTGCCTTACAGATATTATCAAATTGTTTACTGCCAACAACGCAGGAAGGCAGATGGGGTCATTCTCCCCATTTTCCAGATAAGGAAAGTGAGGCTGAAGGAGGAATAGTGACCTGCTCACTTCAGGGGGCACAGATAGGAAGCCTCTGAGGCTGGATGTGAGCTCAGGTCGCCCTGACTGCAGGCATAGCGCTCCATCACTGACCTCCTATGTTCCCATCCTGCTCCTCTTCCTCCATCCCGAGAGCCATCCCTTTGACCAAAACCAGTTTCAGATACCCCTCATGTTTCAGAAGGGAGAGACAGGCTCTGGCAAGAAGCAAATATGTGGGCTGGAAGTGATCTTTCATCTCCCATCCAGCCAGGGGCTTAGCCTGTGGTGCCTTTTTGGCATGAAGGTTGTCAGGGACCCAATAGTGTGAGTTGCACTAAAGGGAGGGGAGATCAGACACAGAAGGCTGGAGAGGAAATTGAATGATAAAGGACAAGATCTTTATTGGAAGAGGGTAGGGGGAGGATGAGCTGGGGAAGCCTATGTGTGGGGATAGAGGGAGGGGTGCAGGAAGGATTGTGGGCATCTAGGTGCTCTGGCTTGAGGAGATCTCCTTCTGGATGACCTTGCCATCCTGCGTGACCTTGCAGGTGAAGGTGCTGGCTGACAGCCACTGGTCAGCAGAGAGTGAGAGGTAACTGCTGGCTGAGTACTTGCTGTCACTCTGGCGGAATGGCGGGGTGGTCTCCACACCCTGAGATACGGGGGAGCCATCCTTGGTCCATGCCACCTCCACTGTTCTTGGGTAGAAGCCACTCAGCAGACACACGAGGGTGGCCCTATTGGTGGCTAGCTCTTCTTGGGTTGGAGGAAAGACATTGATGATGGGGGCCACCGTGGGCTGATCTAGGTGGAGTGATGAAAGAGGAGGAGAGATTAGTCAGAGAAGAGCAAAAGGTCAGAGACTGAGGGAGAACCTTGGGGCCCCCAGACCTGTGTGTGCCATCCAGATTCTACCAGAGCCTTGGGTCTGGAATGTTCTTGGTGGAAGGAGCTAGCCCTGGAACAGGATTAGAAGGCTCTTTTCTCCTACTGCTCTACCCACTGTACAGATGAGGAACCTGAGTCCCTGAGAGTGGAAATGAGTTTCCAAAAGTCCCACCCATAGTAAGAAGTAGAGCTAAGATTTGAACCACTGGTCCCGATCCCCAGAAATGGGCTCATTTTTTATGTGACTTGGCTTGTTGTGTTGCCTTTGTCCTGAATTTCTGGGCACTATGCGTTCCCCTTTCTCCTCTATGGCCTTCCATTTCTTCACCTGCTTGTTAGGTATGTTACCCTGATCTCTAAACTCACCTTCCCAGCCTGACCTTCGTTACTCTGAGAAGCCTGATTCTGCTCAGGCTTCCTCTTACACACTGTCCAAGTAGACCCTAGAGTGTCCTGCTGGACATGCCAGTGGATTGCCAGGACCCTCCCCCCAATGCCCTGCTTCCCCACCCCCCAGCGTTATTCTCCTTTCTGTCCTGGGGGATGGAGAGGTCTGCCTGTCTCTCCTGAGGAGTCCCTTTGGATTGAGCAATCAGGGCCCGAGTCCTGGGGAGTCAGGTTGTCTTTGGAGATTTATCCGTTGTGGAGACAGTCCCTGGGGGTCAACTGGTCTGCTCTGAGGAAGTGTGTATGTGTGTGTGTGTGTGTGTGTGTGTGTGTGTGTGTGTGTGTGTGTATGTGTTTGGGGCATCTATGCTGGGCATTTGGTGTGATGTGGAGTTAGCATGTCCTGGGCAGTGTCTGGCTCAGAGTTTCTATCTTTGTTATTCCCATCTTTTCCAGGGAGTGTGTCTTTGGCCAAGATCCCCCCATTTGTCCTGGTCTATGTTCTCCACCCCTGCTCTCCTGTGTGGCCAGATCCCTCGTCTTCTGGGATGACCCCTCCTTTTTTCCCCTGAAGGGTCCCGGGAAGGTCTGAGAGGCCGAGGTCATCCTTCTGACCAGCAAACCTCTCTGCCCCCTGCCAACTCCTCCTGAAGGAACTACCAATTCCCTAGAAGAAGCCCAGATTTGGCCATCATCCTGCAGGTCCACTGTTTCCTGCCTCAGTGGTCCCTTCAGCCCTGCCCAATCCTGAAATGTGAGGTGTCCATATTCCCTAAGGTTGTTCATTAAACCCAAAGAGGGGAGTGAGAGAGAGCTAGGCTGGGAAAGAGTCCAGGCTACTTCCATAGACCATGCAAGCCCCTGGTGTAGCACTCTGAGAAGAGTGCTCTCCCAAAGAAGAGGATAGCAAGGGCAGAGGTCAGGCAGCTGGAGAGATGGTGAATGTGTAGCAGGAGCTGGCAAGGGGGACCCCAATTAGGAGCTCCCAGCAAGCAGAGGAAGTGAGGAGAGATTTTCCCAGAGCCCCCAGCATCCCAGGAAGGGAGAGCAAAAAGCAGTGACTCACCAAGCACGGTCAGCTCGGTCCCTCCGCCGAACACCCAACACAGTGGCACAGACCTGCACAAAAACCTCCCAGTGATTTGTCTCAGAGCCCACCCCCCTTTCCTCTCTGTGCAGCTGTGAGAGAGGAACACTGGCCCCTCCACCTGGTGCACCACAGAGTAGAGGCCCTTTTTCACTTCACCAGAGAGCTGGGCCAGGTGTCCTCCAATTCCTATCCCAGTGAACATTTGGCCCACAGTGAAGAGTTGAGAGAAAATCCATCATCTGAGAAGACTTGAGTTCCTGCTGCAGGGTCTTATACAGGAATTCCATGAGGCATTAGTAAGGAGCACCTCATGGAGAGCTGGGCTTTTAGGTCCTTTTCCCAGATCAGCCCCTGCAGCCTGTCTCCTTAGGATCTCAAAGCACTGAACATATAGCACTGAATTCTTGCTGCCAGCTCTTGGGACCCATACCTCCTGGGGCTGAGAAACCTGGTGTAGAGGGCTAGAGGCAGAGGAGACTAAAGTTCAGAGCCCCATGGGTTGTAAAGGCATCCCTTTTCCCCTCTTCTCCCTTCCCCTATCACAAACGATGTGGGGCCATATCCTCTGGGCCACTGGTGGGATTGACTCCCTGATCCAGATGCAGAGTTTTCTAGAATTCTTGGGAGAAGAGGGACTTGAATGGGGCCTTGTCCCTCCCTGCCCCTAAGATAGAGCAATCCCTGGCTCCACCCTTTCCTTGAGTGTTGGTGTGGTCCTTACGTGGGAGGGTGTCAGGGCTGCTTAAGTGAGGCAGGGAAAGCCATTTACCAGTCCTGAAGGCTGGGTCTGAGACCAGCTTTTGTTTTGGAGGGCTTTCCTACCTCTAATGTGGGCATCCCGACGGGAATAAAGAGTCAGTCAGAAGCTTGAGCCCCATGGCCCTCTTGTTTGTGAGCCATGGCCAGCAGCAAGGCCTCAGAATTCACCCAATCAATATAGCAGTCACTCATGAACCATTTATTAAGTGCCTACCATGTGCTAGGCATCGTGCTAAGCACTCAGCAAATGCTTGTCAGGATGGAGCTCATCTTAACTGTCTGCAAAGCTCTTCCCTCCCAACAGCCCTGGCAGGTAGTGCACCTGAGGATTCTAATGCCTGCTGTGGAGATGAGGAGAGGGCAAGAGAAAAGCAGAGATAGTGGGCACCTAAGAGAAACAGAAGACATTGAGGAGACCTGGCCGATACAGAAGATACAGAAGAAGAAGGCAAGAAAGCTCTTAACATCGCTGATAACCGTGATGGTGTGTTCACTGCCTGGAGCTAGACATCCTGGAGCAGTCAGTGAAGTGGGCCTTGGGAAGCACTGCTCACCATGAGGCCAGTGGAGGTGATGGAATCCCAGCTGAGCTATTAAAAACCCTGAATGATGAGGCTGTTAAAGTGCTGCACTCACTAAGCCAACACATCTGGAAAACTCTACCCTGTAGACTGGGTTGGAAAGATGTGGTTATGTCTTAGTGGTAATGAGGGCAGTGCCAAAGAATGTTCACATTACTGAATGATTGGGCTCATTTCACAGGCCAGCAAGGTCATGCTCAAGATCCTGCCACGCTGGACTTCAGCAATATGTGAACCAAGAATTATCAGAAGAGCAGGCTAGTTTTTGAAGAGTGGGAGAACTAGAGGCTGAATTGTAAAATTTGTTGGATTGTGGAGAAAGTAAGAGTATTGGAGAAAAACATTTATACATAAAAACTGCACCATAAGCAAAGCCGAGTGCTGCAGAATTGTAGTTGTGAATGCTAGTGTTGCAGAAGATTTTGAGAGTCATTTGGATAGAAAGCAGATAAAATCAATGAATACTGATAAGAAATGGATTCGGTCTATCCTTTGGAAGGTGAATTACTGAAACTGAAGCTCAAGTAATTTGGGCAGATAATGAGAAGACAGGATTCATTGGAAAAGTCCCTGATATTGGGTAAGATCAAAGGCAACAGGAGAAGGGGATGACAGAGGATGACATGGATAGATGGTATTATGGAAGCTTGGACAGACTTGGGGAGAAAGTGGAAGACAGAAGGCTCTGGCAGGTTATGGTCCATGGGGTCATGAAGATATGGATACAACTGACCAATAGCATAGAAGGTGAAATTTAATCTCAGGGAGGGCTCCCAGATCTCTCTGGCCCTCATTCCTTCTCTGAGCTCTAGACTTGCAGATTCTCAGTTCTGAAGAGCCCTCAGAGGCTTCTCATCCAGAGGATTCTTGGTGGAGAATTCTCACCACTGCCTTCCTGCCTGATGAAGGGTGCACTGAGCTCTGCAGGCTGATCTCCAGGGAAGGCTGTGCCACCATGGAGAGCTCCAGATGTTCACTAATTTCCCTCACAATGAGCCTCCATCTGTTTCTTTGCTCTGCTCTTGTAATGCTGGGCTCTGGAGCCCGGCAGAACCAGCCTCCTTCTTTCATCTTGTGATAGCCATTTAGATACTGGAAGAAAGCTTTGGTGTCCCTTTCCCTGATCCTAGGTTTGTCCTCTTTAGCCAGTAGAGGCTGAGTTTCTTTAAGTGATTCTGTAAGGCCCCATCTCCCATGCTTACACCAGCCAGGTCTCCCTTCCTTGGACAATCTTTTTTCTCTTTTTAAAATCAGCATCTATTTTGCCAATGTCCTTCCCAAATTATGGTGTCCAGAAGTGGCCCTCATGGACTTGAGATGGCATGTGAACCGAACAGAGGACAATGAGATTGGCCCTTTTCATGCTCTGGATACTATGATCTGAGTGCAGCCTGGCCCCTGAATTGTCCTCACTCTGTTTTGTCTGTTTACTTCATCTGATACTCTACACAGGTGTCTTCTTTGGACAGTAACTAGGCCATATCCATAATCCTTCATATTTAGGTAGGGCCCAGGAGGAGCAAAGGAACCCAACCTATATACCTATGTTATGAATGGAGGCCTCAGGCTAAGAAAGTGGGAGAGAGACAGAGACAGAGAAAGACATAGACAGAGACAGAGAGAGACAGAGTTAGAGACAGAGACACAGTGACAGAGAGAAAGATAGAGAGAGACAGAGACAGACAGAGGGAGAAACAGGAAAGAGATACCTCATTAAGGAAGGGAGTGGAGTAGGTGCTCTTTTACCTAGGAAACTTGATGGTCATGACAGGAGGACATGGCTGAGAGCTGGCTGTGATGGGATTACAGGTGGATCCCAGGGGCAGCTCCACATCAACTCTACTGCCTCCAAGACTGGTCTCATCCCAGAGTTGTGCTCAGGGCTATTGGAGACAGTGCCTACTGAATGAGATCCTTTTTTTTTAAACTTTTTAAAAACTTTTTAAAAAATTTATTCATTTTTAGTTTTCAACATTCACTTCCACAAGATTTTGAGTTCCAAATTTTCTCCCCATCTCACCCCCCCCACCCCAAGGTGGCATGCATTCTGAATACCCCTTTCCCTAGTCTGCCCTCTGTTCTGTCTCTCTCTCCCTTCTCTTATCTCCTTCTCCTTCTATTTTCCAGGAAAGATTTCTGTACCCCATTTCCTATATTTCTTATTTTCCAGTTGAATGTGAAACCATTTTTTTTAACATGTGTTTTCAAAACTTTGAGTTCCAAATTTTCCCCCTTCCTCCCTCCCCACTCACTTCTTTGAAAAGGCAAGCAACTCTTTATGGGTTATACATGTGGAGTTATGCAAAACACTTCCATAGTAGTCATCTTGTGAAAAACTAACTCTATTTCCCTTAATCCTATTCCAACCCCCATTTATTCTATTCTTTCTTTTAACCCTGTTCCTCTTCAGAAGTGTTTGCTTCTGATTTCCCCCTCCCCCAATCTGCCCTCTCCTCTATCGTTTCCCTGCTGTCTTGTCCCCTTCCCCCCTCCCCCCCATTTTCCTGTAGGGTAAGATTGATTTACATACCCAGTTGAGTGTGTATGTTATTCTCTCCTTAAGCCAAATCTGATGAGAAAAAGATTCACTCATTCCCTCTCACCTTCCCTGGTTTCCCTTCCACTGTAAGGCCTTTTCTTTCTTTTTTTTTTTGTGAGATAATTTACCCATTCTACCTCTCCTTTCTCTTCTCCAATATAATCCTCTCTCACCCTTAATTTTATTCTCCAGATATGACCCTTCATCTTCAACTCACCCTGTGCCATCTATCTTCTATCTATCTATCTATCATCTATCTATCTATCTATCTATCTATCTATCTATTATCTATCTACCATACATACATATAATTTTTTCCTCCAACTACCCTAATACTGACAAAGGTCTCATGAGTTATAAATATCATCTTTCCATGCAGGAATGTAAACAGTTCAACCTTAATAAATCTCTTATGATTTCTCTTTCCTGTTTACTTCTTCATGTTCCACTTGAGTCTTGTGTTTGAAAGTCAAATTTTCTATTCAGCTCTGGTCTTTTCATCAAGAATGCTTGAAAGTCCTCTATTTCACTGAATGACCATTTTTTCCCCTGAAGGATTATACTCAGTTTTGCTGGGTAGGTGATTCTTGGTTGTAATCCTATCTCCTTTGCCCTCCAATATATTATATTCCATGCCTGTGGTCCTTAATGTAGAAGCTGCTAAATCTTGTGTTATCCTGATTGTGTTTCCACAACTTGAATTGTTTCTTTCTGGCTGCTTGTAATATTTTCTCCTTGACCTGGGAACTCTGGAATTTGGCTACAATATTCCTAGGAGTTTTCCTTTGGGGATCTCTTTCAGGAGGAGATTGTGGATTCTTTCAATTTCTATTTTGCCCTCTGGTTCTAAATATCAGGGCAGTTTTCCTTGATAATTTCTTGAAAGATGATGTCTAGGCTCTTTTTTTGATCATGGCTTTCAGATAGTCCAATAATTTTTAAATTCTCTCTCCTGGATCTATTTTCCAGGTCAGTTGTTTTTCCAATGAGATATTTCACATTTTTCTAATTTTTCATTCTTTTGGATTTATTTTACAGTGTCTTGATTTCTCATAAAGTCACTAGCTTCCAATTGCTCTATTCTAATTTTTAAGGAAGTATTTTCTTCAGTAAGCTTTTGGGTTTCCTTTTCCAT